CTCGGGGGCGCGCGCCGCCGCCTCTCAGGGCACACCTGGGGCTGCAGGGTCACTTGCCCCCCCCGGCTCAGAGGAACTCAGACTTAGCTATCTGCGGCATCGGGGCGTCTCCGGCCTAAGTCTCCATCCCTCTCCTGATGCGGGGACGCGGCCCGCATCTGTCCCGGGGTCGCTCGAGGCGCGGCTGGACGCCCGAGGCCTCCGCCTCTCCGAGCCAATGGAAGTGTTGGGCGGGAAGGGCCACTCCCTCTCCCTCCGGGAAACCACCCACCTCCCCGAGACTCGGCGCGAGCGGGGATTGGTTTTCCCTGCGCGCGGGATCGGCTGCCATCCACCCCACAGCGCCTGTTTTCTTGCCTCCCAAGGGGGTTGGGGGCGGGGTGGGGAAGGATTTTTCTTGCCTCTCCCGGAAGCTGTGCTGTTAGACACGATTACCTCAGCTAGGTCACTGGGACCAAATCATACGGGACGCTTAATGAAGGACCACATTCAAAAGGGATTATGCCTTGAAGTGTCCTGGCGGGCGACATTTTTACAGATTTTAAGGGGCAAATTTAGAACAGCTAAAAAAAAAGGTTTCAAAGCAGTGACTACTAAAAGAGCATCTAGGCCTCCCATTTTGTCAGGAGGAATTCAACTTAGAAAATGCAGGTTAGTTGTCAATTTATGGGGTTATTTTATTTTACTACAGCTTCTCTCTGTGGTTTCGATGTAAAACTAATGTACAGCATGTTTTCAAATAAAATCGACCTTCAGTTTAACACAGGCAGCAGATAACACGGATGCAGGCATAAGAACAGATGAGGAAATACATTTATCTATTTTTGACTCCCTGTGATGGCTTATGTAGCATTTTACGAGTGGCTTCATAAATGAGCACTTTTTAAAATTAAAAATTAATTACAAAGACTTCCACAGAAGAATAGCTTTTAAACAGTTGAAATCTCTTCCTAGATCACGCAATTATGCAGAGAGATACCGCTTGGAAGTCTCCGGATTCAGGGCCTCAGTCTGATACTTTAACATTGTTAATGATAATTCTTTAGTCTGTAATAGTAGGTCATTGCTATGGTTACTCTACAATGGTGCAACACTTTGCTTTCCCCTTCAGCTATTCGCTGAGACCTGGTAACCACATTTGTTGCCTAGCAACAGTTTTGTGACAGTATCACAATCTAGGAGTTACAACAATAAGGATGCTATGGCTGCTGTCGGCCAGAGAGCAGAAAGCTACAGTCTGTGCCTGACTTAGCTGTGGGAGCTGGCCCTACTAGAGAACCCCTCTCTCTTTATCGGTGCCCTCCCAAGGATTCTCTCTCTCCTCCTTTCCTCTGCAGATGGGCCTCATGAACCTGAATTTGAAACTAAGACCCAGTATTAAAGTCATATCCGCCAAAGCGACTGTATTCAGACTAAAAATGAGGTCATTTCTGTATTTGCTTACTCATTTTGGGCAAAATTCATTGTTACTCAATAGGAAGGTGGGATTGTCTCTATAGTGTTTGCAACCCTAGTTTCACTTCAGTAATAACTACACAGTTGCACTTATAATGGTAAGACATTTTACAATCAATTGTAATTCCTTTTGAAAGACCATTCTCAGATGCATACTACATGGCAACACCCACCCCCAAATACAATAAGCCAAAAAAAAAAAAAAAAAAAAAAGGTGTTAATTGTCTCTTTTCCTTCCCATTTCCCAAGCTTCCAGCCACATTTGGCATTTCCTCCATAGTGATCACACTTACACCTACTAGTGTTACTAAGGCTAGGATCAATTTGTAAGCTTTCTCAGGGAATTCCCCTCATAATTCCTCCCACCCCTTGAAACCAATTCAATCTATGAATCTAGAGGGACCTAAGGAGTCAAGGGTCTGAAGAAATTTTAACTCCTTTATTTCTTCTTTACTAGTGACAATCCTTTTGAAGGATGAACAGATTTCCCTGGTGATAAAATCACTACAAAAGCTTTTTAGTTTTAGCTTTTGATGACTCTCTGCTTGATTAGTCCTGGACTGAAAAGACCAGAGTCCCTGAGATAACTGAATACTTGTACTGGCTCTCAACATTTACTCTTGTAATTTAAAAGTATAAATAATGAGAATGTGTGCTTCTATCAGAGGAAGGGAAATTGCTAGGAGTAAAGGTAATAATGTAGGTTAGCAACTGAATTACAGAGAATGGGGTGGAAGGGAGAGAATTCTCCCTAAACTAAGGAATGATAACATGAATATGTAATATAAAAATGTGTTTTCTAGGAACACTTTTACACTGTTGGTGGGATTGTAAACTAGTTCAACCATTATGGAAAACAGTATGGCGATTCCTCAAGGATCTAGAACTAGAAGTACCATATGACTGAGCCATCCCATTACTGGGTATATACCCAAAGGATTATAAATCATACTGCTATAAAGACACATGCACACGTATGTTTATTGCGGCACTATTCACAATAGTAAAGACTTGGAATCAACCCACATGTCCATCAGTGACAGACTGGATTAAGAAAATGTGGCACATATACACCATGGAATACTATGCAGCCATAAAAAAGGATGAGTTTGTGTCCTTTGTAGGGAGATGGATGCAGCTGGAAACCATCATTCTCAGCAAACTATCACAAGAACAGAAAACCAAACACCGCATGCTCTCACTCACAGGTGGGAACTGAACAATGAGATCACTTGGACTCAGGAAGGGGAACATCACACACCGGGGCCTATTATGGGGAGGGGGTAGTGGGGAGGGATTGCTTTGGGAGTTATACCTGATGTAAATGACGAGTTGATGGGTGCTGACGAGTTGATGGGTACAGCACACCAACATGGCACAAGTATACATATGTAACAAACCTGCACGTTATGCACATGTACCCTAGAACTTAAAGTATAATAATAATAATAAAAAAGAATGTATTGAAGGAAATCTTAAAATAGTAAAATAATAATAATAATAATAAAATAAAAATAAAAATGTGTTTTCTAAATTTTTGGAAGTAGATTTTTAATGATATTTAAAATATCTTTTGGAGGTTGAATAATTGCATGTCTATCTGGGACTGCATATATACATTTCAAGAATATGTTTGGAGACCATTTTCAAAAATTTAGTTCTGAAGTTCAGTGAAAATATTTACAGGTGAATATGAAACTCTATCCATGACAGTGTTCAATGAATGGAAACTTTTGAGAGCAGGTTTCTAGTACTTAAAAAATACATCACTTTAGGGGACATTAAGTGGGGTATCTTTTATTCCATCAGTACAGAAACACTAGACCATTACATTATTTGTTCATAAAAGGATATAAAAGGTGGAAGTTTAGGTCAATCAAAAAAGCAGTCATTTATTAATAAAATGCAATGATGTAGAAGTCACAGGGAGACTAGTTTATTTAGCACTAGCCTTGTTATTTGAAGGAGATAAACATGGTTTTATGGTCAAGGTCTAGTCTTTTCACTACCACCACTTTATTCTTATCAAGTCTCCAGTTTTCAAACCCATATTTTCCCAATTTAGACAGGTTCACAAAATATAAGGAGTAAAAGGTTTTTCCACATTAAATATCTGCCAACTTCTCAAGGAATGATTTTGGTATCATTTTGTAGTGGCAGGCTTGGTCTAACTGGATAATTCACCTATGGAGTGAATTCAGTTTCCTAGTCTATAATATCAATTCAGTATAAAAGTAAAATGTAAAGGATCACAGCGCTTCATTACAAAAAAATACCTTTGCTCAGTTTCAATCAGTGGTTCTTAATGGAGATGACAATGGCCTCTGGAGGCATTTTGGAAATTTGCAGGGATATTTTTGGTGGTCAAGACGATTGGAAGGTGTGATTGGCATTTATTGGGAGAAGGTCAGGGATAGTGGATATCCTGTAATTTGCAAGGCAGTATAGAATTGTTCTGCATCCCACATGATTTTCAAATGCTCAGCAGCTATTCATGTAGTTGAAAACCTGTTTATAATTATATGGATTAGAATTTAAATATGTTTTACAGATAATCTTAAAATACTTTTTGCATGATTTTAATATATACTGAATTTTCCAAGAATACCACTACCATGTAAATTGAAAGGGTTGTGCATTTTGTTTTTCAGAGTCTTGCCAAGAGTGGTTTACCCTATGAAAAAAATATCATAACTGATGGCACCATGCCCATGGTACTGGAGTTGCCAATAAGCATACCTGTATCAGCCTGCACTTCAGCTGTCAAATTCATGATGATTCCATGCATAGGACCAAGTATCTGACTACTTTATTATGTCTTCTCATATAGATTTGCCTGAGCACTTTAAATATTGAAATCTATATTATTTTTATTATGAATTACATTTATTCCTTCTATATGTTAACTAGAGCATTACAAAGATTTAATAATCTTATAAATAGGTAGATTATATTATCTATTGAATTTATTTCAGGACAGTAAAAGCACTGCATAATATTTCTTATAATAGGAGGTAATTAAAGGTCAGATTAAATAAAAATTAATGGTTAATTCTTTCTTACTATATTAGAGATTAATTCTTCCAATAATCTGAACCCTACTCTAGCTATCTCTTTTATCCTTGTACAGAGCAGAAAATGCCTATTTTTCATTTTTCTTATATTTCTTCCACAAATGCCATTTGTCAATGATGTTATTCATTGTGAAATGACTAAAAGGCCAGGGATCTTCCAATGAAAATACTACCCTGAATATCCTT